ACATTCATAGTTACAATTGCAGGTTATGATGGGTAAAATTTCACAACCTGGTTTATAAAGCTTACCATTAAAATGGACATTAGTTTACTATATTTGAAGGGGATTAAACTATATATATGCATAAAGATATACTAAAAATAAAATCGGTTTGCTTCAATCAAACAAAATAAAGATCAAAATTTATCATACCAAGAGAGACTTTTTGACTTTTATTAAGTTATTAAAACAAAAAAGTTTCCACCTCAAAAGGATAAGAGAGAGAGAGAGAGAGAGAGAGAGAGAGAGAGAGAGAGAGAGAGAGAGAGAGAGAGAGAGAGAGAGAGAGAGAGAGAGAGAGAGAGAAGGAGGGAGACAGAGACCGAGAGAGTTAGACAGTTAGACAGTGAGAGTGAGAGAGTTCGATAGTGAGAGTGAGAGAGTTAGACAGTGAGAGTGAGAGAGTTAGACAGTGAGAGTGAGAGAGTTAGACAGTGAGAGTGAGAGAGTTAGACAGAGAGAGTGAGAGAGTTAGACAGTGAGAGTGAGAGAGTTAGACAGAGAGAGTGAGAGAGTTAGACAGAGAGAGTGAGAGAGTTAGACAGAGAGAGTGAGAGAGTTAGACAGAGAGTGAGAGAGTTAGACAGAGAGAGTGAGAGAGTTAGACAGAGAGAGTGAGAGAGTTAGACAGAGAGAGTGAGAGAGTTAGACAGAGAGAGTGAGAGAGTTAGACAGTAAGAGTGAGAGTGAGAGTGTGAGAGAGAAGAGAGAGAAGAGAGAAATTTTATTACCTGTTCTTTTCCTTTTGCTTTCATTTTAGGCTTCTTTATCTTGTGCCCTACTCCTTTGTTTATCCCATCTTTACGTGACTTGTGAACCCTAGGACTTTGCACTGGCAGAGGTTCAACCCGTCTGTAGGGGGTTGTCACACTTTTTGGAGATTTGTAGAAACTGAAACTGAACCCTGGGAGGAGGAAAAGTCAAATCATTTGTTAAAAGAATCCAAATGACAGTAATAAATAGCTATTAGTAATATGGCAATTCAATGACAGAAGACAGTAACCTCTCAATGCACAATCAAAACTAAATTACTGATGTCTATCTAAGTACAGACAAACATTAACCTATTATGGCTTCCTTTTCAACCACAACTAGAATCAAATGGTACGAAAATAACATCTACCGCAATAAAACGCACCACTGCTCAGCGTGACCCCAGTGGCCTCAGCGGACCTAGGAGGCGAGACGGCAGCAAAACTAGCCGACACTGGTGACTTCTTGATAGGTTCTTCCTCGTCCATGAGTTTGATGGGTGGAGATCGCCGGGGAGTTGTCAGCACCCCACAGTCAGGCACCATGGGAGTCATTGTGCAACTCTCCTGTTAAAATGTACATGCAATTTAACTTGTTAGTTCTGGAATATGATAATCTTTAGCTTGTAAGCCGATCTTGTATCCCATTTCAAGCCAGTATCAGTAACTAGAATGCATTTTCCAACATTAACATTACCGTGTAGAAACAAAGTTCTCAGTGATTACATGGGAATCTAGGGACAAAGCCTCCTGGTTACTAGTTCACAAGATTACCACAATTCCTACATTTTGTGGTATATTCTGGCATATATGACTATAAACTGCCAAGATCTACAAGGTCTCAATAGAAGGTCAGTTCTTTGAGTCAAATAACTTTTACTTTTACTTTTCTTATGCACTGGAATTACTCAGACGTTTCTTCGATTTAATTGCTCTGTCGTTTGCATGTGTTATTTTCCCAATAAAAGATGGCTAGATGAAACGGGATCCTTACAAAAAGGTTCTTTAACTAATTCGGCCTTTCGTTTCCATTTATAATTTGCCTTATAAAGATGTTGGCTGAATAAAACGGCAATTATTTGGTCCTCAAAGTATCTATTATATAAAATTATTCATAATAAATAAATAAATAAATAAAATAGTTACCAGGTCCTCAAAGTATCTATTATGTAAAATCATTCATATAAAAAAATAAATAAATAAAATAGAACTTAAACTCGTCTTTAACCACAAGTAGTTCTATTTGTTGTAATAAATGTTACGTAAGGATACTATAATTAAAGCAATTATGAAGAAAAAGAATATTTAGAGACTATAGGCTTGTTAATTAACCCAAAATATGTAATTAAAAAACGGCATATTACATCATTTTTGTCTTTTTATCCGTTTCTTGTTTTTTTTTATGTACTGAAGTATGAGCGGGAATTTTTTTTTCTGAAGTTACATTAATCAGCTCAACGAGACGAATTTGAATATCTTAGGCAGCTACTCCTAACCATGTCTCCATTATTATTAACTTTTATTTATAGTTTTTTTCTGCAAATTCCATTACGATCTCTTGTCAAAAAACAGCGGGAAACCAATTCCTCTTTTCTCTCCTTTCGATCTTATTCTCCCATAAAGCGACAAAATACTGACACGCGATCAATTCATTTAATCCAAACTCACCTTCGCGAGGAATAAAATCCACAACTGGGCGAAAAACTTTTAAA